TTAGATTCTGCGCCCCCTCCCATCATCAGCCAAATTCTGTAAAAACCCCGGCTCAAGATACTCAGCACGAGGGTCCGTGGGGCTGAGTCAGGTCTGCCCCTAGTTGCGAGCTTGAGGGGTTAGGGGCCAGGTAGGCGGGAGGCCTTGTTGCTCAAAGTGATGGAGGTCGCAGGGGACTGGTCAGTGGGAGTTGAGGACTAATGCCCGCTGAGGGGCCTGACACATCTGGGTCCCGACTGGGAAGACAGGCTAGGCTCCTGGGGCTCTACACTACATCAACATGGCATTCAACCCTATCCCAATAATTCAAGGAGCTGCAGACATAAGAGGTGTCCGAGTCAGGCAGGGGAGGCATTGTGAGGCTCGGGGGCACTCCTCTGCCCAGGTGTTCACCTGCTGATAACACACGCCTACGACTTCAAGGACCTGATCCTGCAAAGTGTGTCACACATGCCACACCGAGACTTGCACACAGTCCAGGCTCCCTTGCATGGTGGCAGCTCTGAGCTGAATGGGTATAGGTGACTATGCCTGGGGCATGGCAGTGGTTGGTCACATCCCCAGACAAGTGCTTCCCTAGGTGAGCTCCAGGTGCTGAGGGTGATGGTGGCATCGCAGTGTTGAAATTGTGTGACTTTTTTTTTTTGGAATGTTTGCTGAAATGTGGCTTGGAGAGTCACAGTTTTCATCCTAAACTCCAAAGGTTAAACAGTGACTTAGGCTGTTCATGCAGCTTCCTTTGACCTTCATTGTTGAATGACCTTGAACATCAGCCTTCAGGGGCTATACTCACTTTGTTCCCCCACATAGTTTTAGTGGAGGCACATTTAGGGAAAGCAGTCCCCGAGAAGATAACCCGGTTTGCTGTGGCGGTTGTTTGCATTAAACACTGGACTCTGTTGATAGAAATCTGAAGCGAGGGACAGAGGTACTGGAGGCTGCAGAGCCGCCTCCTCACCCTGCGTGTGCTGCTGCTTTCCTGTCGGCTGCTGTTCTGCAGGGTGGACTCTGTCCCTCTCCGGTGCTGATACTTCTCTCGCGTCTGCATGTCCTTAGGGCGGGTGGTGAAAACAGTGCAGAAGCAAAGCTGTTCAAAGAGGAGCAGGAAGAGAGGCCACCTCTCTGGGGGTGTGTCTTTGCTTTGCATCAGTCCCCACTCTGATTTGGGAAGGACCTTTCGGTGTGTTTCTTCATTCACTTTCAGCTCCTCTCTGGCAATCTCATTTAATGGTATAATAAAGTGATGATTTTTTTTTTCTCCCAAAGATATTTAAGTATTTGTGTGAGATGTCACATTGGGCGTGAACCTGAGGAAGAGTGGCCACAAAGCTTCCAAACACTCTTGTCCCACAGTAAACACCTGTGCTGGGCTCTCACTCTGTGTACGAGAGGGGACTGGAGGGGCAGCTCACGGCATCATCGTGATTAGGAGTGCCTGGATGCATGTGTAGTCCCGTGCCTGGCCCTGTGCTGAACACTTCACCCACATGAGCTTGTTCCGTTCGCAGTTCCCCCCCAGTTTAGAGAGACAGAAACACACGTCCTGGGACAGGCTGTACCACCAGGCAGGTGCCGGCTCTTCCATGAATCTACCATTCTCATCACTCGTGGCTCCTGTGATGGGCTGGGGTCCTGCCACCCACGTGGGAGACCCAGATGGAGTTCCCAGTTCCTAGGGCATCTGGAGAGTAAACCAGTGAATCAAAGATCCTCTCAAATAATAAATAAATAAAAACAAATTAAATTTAAAAGATTTATTAAAGTTTGGAAAGGCACGGCTATAGCTGAGGGCACGGGACTAGTTGGTTTCTGAAGGACCCCAGCTATGTTCTGTGATTCTATGTCAAGGAGGCTTAAAGAACACAGCCACTTACTTGAAATAAACCTGTGTGAGGGGCTCTGCCCTTTCTTCCGGTACCTGCGGCTTCAGTTTGGAGGTTCCCATACAGTCTGGTGGTTTTCACAACTCTCATGGTCTGGGCATGGCAGGGACACATGGAAGACACAGTCCTGGTGCTGAAGGAACTCCAGTAGAGTTGAGGCCAACAGTGAGCGTAAAGGACCGTGGGCTCCTGAGGCTGGACAGACATTGACATCTGTAAGGAGACAGCCCTCCCATCATAAACACAGCCCAGATGTGGGCAGGTCAGATACAGCCACCGCAAGACCCTGGTTTCAGCCGGTGTGACCTTAGAGGTCCCCCTGTAGCTTAGGACCTGGTCAGCTTGGACAGACAGGTGCTGATGTTGACAGGGACCTGCCTGGGATGCATTTGAGATTAGAAAGCAGGACCAGGCCCTGGCTAGGTGCGAGTTTTCCTTTACAGCCAGCCGGCCCCTAGAATGTCCAGTCACCTCCTCCACCCTCCACCCTCTCGACCCCTGCGCTGCGGCATTTTGATTGGACAGGCCAGGCCAGGTGAGCACAGTAATCCAGGGGCATTGGCACCCACGTGTTGGAATTGCTGCACACATGGATCTGTGAAGGAGAATTGCTGCTTAAATCCCACATCCAGTTCGCTGCAGACCTCATCCTGTGGTGAACAAGCAGGGAAGGCATGTCCCGCCGGTCCCACTCGGCCGGCGGCTGTGGCGTCTGTGCTGGTGTAGTGCAGCCAGAACCCCCTCACCGGGCAGCTCCTCCCAGTGGTAGCAATCTCACGAATGATAACCTGCCATCAGAAGTCGTATGTAATCAGCTTACCAGGTGCTAGACTGGCTGGTGCTCTGAGGACTGGGACTTGACTCCTGATTGCAACTCAGGGCGCCTCACTTCTGTGCTTGCCCGTGTCTCTGTGGCTCTCTGGCTTGGGGCTGCTGGTTCGTGGCCGAGCCGTGTGCCTGTCCAGAGTCAAGGCGTACTGAACCAGGACCCCCTCAGAGGCAGTCTGGGATTGAGGGGTCTGGATTTGTTGTAAGCATCCAGAGAGATGCTTCACTTGGCCACGTTGGGGACTTCGGGCTTTGCTGTGCACCACCAGCCCTTTCTGCCCCCTGTCGCACATGGGGTGCAGGGTGAGTGGCTGCTCCCATGGTGCTGGGCCAGTCCTCCTGTCCCCAAGTGAGAGTCCTCCCTTCTCTGGGCTCTGTCCGTTCCCCCCACACTTGCTCCAAACTGTCTGGGACTGCTCTGCTTTCTTTCACGTCCAGCGGTGCTGTGTATCTTTCTCACTAAGCAGGAAGCTTCTGGAAGGCAGTAGCAGTCTTCTTCCTTTCTGCCTGATGGTCTCCACTCTGTCTCTGTCTCTCCTCTCTCCCCCCCTCTCCACCGCAGCTTCTTGATAAGTTCACTGCTTCTCAGAGTGCCCTAAGCAGGACTCTCCTTGGAGAGATACTCAGAGCTGCAGGTGCTGGTCTGGGGCCCGCTGCCCTTGCCCTGTCTGGAGCTCCCGGCTGCTGGCTCCGGGGAAGAGTTCCCCAGAGCTCTTGTCTGCATTGGTAGCTTCTCACTGAATTGCTTTGATTGCAGAATAGTAACACAGGGTTCCTGTGTGCGACTCGCTGGCCATTTTCTCCGAAAGAGTTCAGTGTTTATAGGAACCTGGGAACTGGGTTGCTGGAAATGTTCTTTTCCTGTAATTTTTTCTGGAACGTCTATTTTTCTTTCCAAACATACTCAGGAAAAAGTTAGAAGCACTTTTTAAACATGCCTTCCTCATAATTAACGGTGGTAAGAAATGCTCTTCCCATACGAGATTCCTCCCTCAGCCATCCAAAAAAAAGGGACAAGCGGCAGCAGGCGGAAGGAAGGCGGTGCTCTGTGGTCCCTGAACTCCGGAGGCGCTAGTGGGCAGCGCTGGAACCTGACTTCTTTTCTTCTAATGCCATTCCTTTTCCTTGATGTTAATGCAAGTTGTGCCTCCCTAAAAGTAATAAAAGGAAATGAAGACACGTTCCGAAATGAAACTTGACTCTAATCCATTCATCATCTAGTACTAGCCTCTTTATCTTCGCTGGTACCTAATCTGGTTAAATGTCCCTGTTGTAGGATTTTAGTGAAAATCCTCTACTGGGAATAGGGTTTTTTGCAATTGGATTACTCGCAGTAAATGGCCCCGTAGTTCGCTTGTTTCAGCTTAATTTTTTTCTTTGTGATCTTGCTGGGCTAAGTCATAGCGAGCCTAGCGGAGGGGGGATGGGTGGACTGAGAGGGGTGGGGGAAGGCCTGGGCATGGCAACTGGAAACCGGTTCTCAGTGCTCCTCCTCTTTCTGTCTGCTTCTCTCCCCTGATCCACTCTTCCCAAACGCAAAAATGCCTGCACTTTGTTTTCTGGAACTGCCGGTTTCTAAAATGCACACCTTTTATTAGGCCAATTCATCATCATCCAGTTAATTTATTAGCGGTTTCCCCCATGACTTCCTAATGAAATTCCTAATGAATCAGGGCTGCTATAATCTGCATAAAATATGCAGGTGCCGGCCAGGCAGTTTAGAGCTTTCTGGTAAAGTTCACTCTCCCACCCAGACCGCGCGTGGGCTTTTCATCGTGGCTTGCTGGGGAGGACTGTGGCAGGCCTGCTGCTTCCAGGGGCAGGGAGGGCCGGGAGGCTGGGTGGGTAGGATCTGGCCCTGCCAGGGGTTCTTGTAAATGCAGGTTTTCCTGGCTGCTCCCCCAGCAAGCCTGCCTGCCTCCTGGAGGTCCCACCAGCGGGGGCCCATGGGGCGGGAGACCCCTCCTGCATGCAGGAGCACAGTAGGCCCCGGAGTTTAAAGCTCCCATTTCCAACTCACCTGCCGATGGGAGAAGTGCAGACTCTTGGGCTCCGTGATGGGGTGGTGGGGGGGCAGGTATTTGAAAAGCCAGGCGCAGTGGGAGGGAGATGCAGAAGCAGTGATCTGCTACTTTGAAAGGGACTGGGCTGGAGGTGGGGGGTGGCCTTGAGTGCATCCTACAAAGCCGAGGTGGGGGGCTGTGGCCGGGGCCCCCCAGGCCTGTGCTCCGTGGTCCTGAGCTGCTGGGTCCAGCTTGACGGTGTGTTTCTCCGCTCTCCTCCCTACAGTCGAACAAAGTGCCGGTGGTGCAGCACCCTCACCATGTCCACCCCCTCACACCTCTTATCACCTACAGCAATGAACACTTCACGCCCGGAAACCCACCTCCACACTTACCAGCCGACGTAGACCCCAAAACAGGTAGGCTGTGGGCTGGGGTGCCAAGGTGATGTGGAGGGTGGGGGGCAGGGAGCAGGAGGCTGTGGTTGGATGGCGCTGGGTGGGGGGCTCCCAAGCCTCTCCAAGTGAGGGAGGGGCTCTCCTTGTCCCTTTGGGCAAGTCTATTTGCAGTGCCAAAGCTGCCCCCTTTAGGGCAGTGAGTACCCTCAATAGGGCTGCCCTTGGACCTGACTGAGTTCCTCAGTGTTTTCCAGGACTGGCTCCCAACTCCAAGAGCCCCAGACAGACTGGGAAGCAGTTGTCATCCTGGGGGGAGAAGAGGCCTCAGGCCTGGCTCCCCCAGACCCGGGTCCCCTGGGCAGCCGAGGGACTCCATTCACTTGGCCATGACTTCCTGGGGCAGCCCCAAGAGACTACATCACTGGGTTGCAGTCCCTGCCGATTTGGGGGGGTTTCTCCCTCTGTGATATCTTGGGTGTTGTCAAGCCCACTGTACAGGCGTGAAAGCTGCACCTTGAAGACTTCCTCATCATCTCACACAAGTTACCGCGTTTTCCTTCAGCCTTCATGCTGTCCCTGTTTTCTTTCTTGCCACTTGTCCACTGACTGCTCTTTTGCCCAAAGGAGAAGGGGAGAGAAGGCAGCCAGGGCTGCTGGTATCCGTCCCTTCCAAGGCCCAGGACTGCCAAGCAGGCAGCCGCGGCCCCAAAGGAGGACGGCAGAGGCCGGGCTGTGTCTTTCAGGCTGGCCCACGTGCTGGCCAGGGGCTTGTCTTCGCAGCTCATCAGCTGGGAGGGTGAATTTTAGACGGTCGGTCGGCTGTGTGTCTCTGTCAGGGGCAGCTGCTGTTGTTGGGTCAGGTAAACGAAGCCACACGGGAACAGGTCCTTGCTGGCCTCTGAGTGCAGGAGCAGGCCCCAGCCTGGCGCTCACAGGGCTGGAGGAAGCCGCCAGCCGGCCTGGGCTGTGCAGTGAATGGCAGCATCACCGTCTCATTTAAATAATGGCAGTACAGGGAATAGCTTTTAAATGGCCATCGTAAAACATATGATTAACGTCTGTGGACTGTTTACTTTTCCTCTGCGAACATTCTTTCAAGTGTGCAAATGGCTTGGTGTAGGGTCCAAGCCCAGCTAATCTGTTTGGTTTTTGTAATGGAGAGAAAGCAATGCCTGCGTGAACATGTCACCCAGGGAGACTTAATTTACAGATTAAAAGCTTCCGGAATAAATTTTTTTTTTTTTTCAAAAATGAAATCGTTTTCATCCAGGAACAAGCTGCCCATTCCCTTCCATGCTGTTTCGATTCTGGGGCGTTGTGCGGTTTGCCTCCCACTCCTTTCGGAATTGCTCCCTAGGCTCCCTGTTCCTAAGAACTGACGGCCGGCTGCCTGGGCTGGGCACAGGTTCTCAGTGCGCAGTCAGCAGGTGGGTTAGATCCCTCCGGTGACCCAGTGCTGCAGGGAAGGAGGTCTCAGAAGGGAGGGGGCCAGCTGCCCGGCGTCTCCCTGTCTGCTCAGCTGGGACTTGTCCCAGAGAAGATGCTCGATGGCCTGTGGTCAGTTCTCTCGGGAGGCCGTTCTGTGGGACTCACCTCTGTGAGAGGCCGTGAGGGTAGCCATTCTGAAGCCCCTGGCTCCAGGACTGTGCTGGAAGCCAGAGGAATAGCTCTCCTGTAGAGAAGTCCTTAGAATTGCAAGGAGTGAGGCCACAGGTTGTCGGAGTCCAGGGAATTCCTGTGACTTGATCACCTCCTGTGTGCCGAGACCTTTAGGTGTTGAATGTTTGGTTTTCTAACTTCAGATACCCAGGATGCCATTTTCTGAGTTTGCCTATCACGTGTCCCGGTCTACCAAGACTGAGTAACTTGTTTTTCAAACAAGTTACTGGGGACAGAAAAAAGATCTCGCCAAGAACTTGCAGTAAACGTGATCATGAAAGCAGCTCGCGCCAGGATTCCGGATGGGATGCCTCTCTTCTTCCTTCTGCTGCTTCCCTCGCCCTACGGGAGCCGTTTCCTCCTTTGTACCTAAAGTACTGTTTCTTCTCCCAGGAATCCCCCGGCCTCCGCACCCTCCAGATATATCTCCGTACTACCCGCTATCGCCCGGCACCGTAGGACAGATCCCCCATCCGCTCGGATGGTTAGTACCACAGTAAGGAGTTCCATTTTTTAATTTCCTTTTCGTTTCTTACATGGGCATGCTTATCATTTAGTCTGTGCGTGTGTGTATGTGTGGGGGCGGGGGCGGGCCACCTTAGGAGTCTGTGGGAAAGGTGCCACTGGGATATTTTATGGGGATGTGGGCAAATCCAACCCTGTTGGGATAGATTATATAGGAAAAAGGATATCGATACAGCGTTATGAACCCAGGGTCCACAGAAGCCATGTGGACAAAGGCACCCTTAAGATAACTTTAGGAATTGCAGAGGGCTCCTGGGGCTTCCACCCAGTGCAGCTGATCTTGGGCGTTCTGCCCATGTGGCAGCCTACGCTGGAGTCATGTCATTGGGCTGCAGTATCGGAGTCCTCCCTTGTAAGTGTTGCATGTTTGGCCACAGGGGAGTAGAAAGAGGAAATCCAGGGGTGGGCTGAGCTATAACCCCAGCAGTCCCAGCCCCAGACCAGTCGTCGCCCACCGAGGTTGGCAGCGCAGTGGGAGGCTTTGTCTGATGAGAAGCTCCGTGGTACTGAACCAGCCTCTGCCTGTGTGCACGGGGAACGCTTTCCCTGACTGTGAGGGCTGGGCATGGGGCAGCGGGGGCCTCCACTCGCTGTGCAGCCTTCCCGAGTGTCTGCCCTGGTTCCTGGCGGTGACTAGATACTTCCACTGCCTTTTACAACTTTAAAAAAAAAAAAAAAGTGCATCTTAATCAGAGCAGAGAGACCTCTGATGCTTAAACATACTGTATGTGTTTGCGTGTGTGTGCACGGGCATGCGTGTAGTATTCCCTGGTTGTATGTTTCTGTGTGTTTTCCCTTCCAAAAGTTCATGCAAAATGTGGAACATGAAAAGACACTGTTTGGATTTCAGAGTTTCTCACCCCAGAATAAACTTGGAATTCCATTTTTCTGTCAACTTTTGGAAGCGTCCTCTTGCTTTTCCATTGTTTATCAGTGACTTCCACTCCAGCAGTCACAAAACAATGTGTTGAATGCCCAATGAAAGAAACCCCGGTCGCACTGTCACGTGTGGGTTTTGGGGGAGATACTCGGTCCCTCATAGCTCTGAAGAAGCTAGGGTTTTGGAATGGTTCATCTCCTGCTACCGCCCTTGTCTTTCTACTTTTGAACAAACACTGTGCTGAGTTCCCCAACAGAGTGCATTATGTAGTAGTTCCACCGAATAGCAACCCCGAGTACATTTCTGCTTCATTGTCTTCTCCTCATTTTGGGGGGTTGCGGGAGTGGGGGTTAGACGTGACCCTGAGCCTGCGACCCGTTTCTTGACTGGTTGGGGCCATTCCTCAAATAGTCCGCCGTCCTCGTTTGCTGGGGAGATGTCTGAAGGGCAGATGAAAAGGAAGAGCCAAGTCAGACAACCCTCTGTCAGGAAAAGTTGTGTGTCTTTCATGAGGATGCTATTTTGCATGTTGCTGTATTTTTTAATTATTGTAATGAGGTGTGATTGTCTATTGGTTACCCACAATTCTTCTTGGGGACGCTCCCCCCCGGTAACTCTTGTCAACACTTGTTAATTTGACAAAAGGCTACAAATTAAGCTCTGTTAATTTAATGTTTTCTCACCGAGATCTAAATACCGAAAGAGGCCCAAAGCGCAACTGAAGTCCTTTGATTCACTGTACTTTATTTTGGTATAAATTTACATTCATTATTGTTTTCCTTTGGATGTGTAGCCCTCAATTAGTGTGATGGCTCCATTAAAGCAAGCGAGACTTCGCCTTTAATTATTACAACAAAACACCTAGTTTCAGCTTGGGGAGAGGGTCTCTATTGACATAAGCAGAGGTTATAAAATTTAATTAGCCATTCCTATCAGATTTATGGCATTCAAATTGTTCTGTGTTTCTTCCCTTTGATCCTTCCTGTACAATCCCCAAGATTTTTGTTCTGATCAAATGAGAATAAAGCCTACTATGCAGAGAGAACTTTTCCCTTTTCTTCTATTCCTTGTCCCCCTACTCGCCATCCGTGGTTCCAGCCTCTGACTTTGCACCCCTTCTTTGTAGGCAAGGTCAACCAGTGTACCCAATCACGACAGGAGGGTTCAGACACCCCTACCCCACAGCTCTGACCGTCAATGCTTCCATGTCCAGGTGAGTTCCAAGCACCAGGGCCACCCGGGCCCTGGGGCTGTGTGTAGTTCGGAGAGTGGCACTAAAGCCCCCACGGCGTTAGGCATTAATTCCCAGAAAAGACTCAAAAGTTGCCCTGGAAGCGCAAGGTAAGTGATGTCTTTCTGAGTCCCATCAATAGAACAGTGTATTTTAAGAAATGAAGAAGGCAGGAAGAAGCCGTTAGGACATGGAGTGCTTTTAAAGTGTCCTTTCTCTGTTGTCCCATACTGGGTAAGAAAGGCAAGGGTGGAGATCATTTTATTACTACACAAAGAAGAGTTTGAGAAAAGATTATTGGTCTTTTCAAAGCTCAGACTCTGAGAGTCAGAAAGAAAGCCCCACCCCCACCCCACCAAAGGAGAGCCATTCAGTTAGATAGTAAAGACATGCTCAATGTAGCCACATGGGGAATTCTAGATTTTCTAGTGGCCACGTTTTTGTTTTTTTATTTTTTAAGTTTGTTTTTTTATTAGAAAAAGGTGAAATTATTCATAGTGGTATCTTTTATGCAAGCCAGTACTATAAGCCAAAATATTATCATTGCGGCTACTCTATTACTACTGTTACTGAGATTTCCCACTCGTTTCTGTACTTGCTTTTCATAAGCTGATACAGCACATCTCCGTTTGGACTGGCCACATGTCAGCCACTCGATGGCCACGTGGAGCTGGTGGCTGTAACATTAGCCCATGCAGCTCTGCGTCTTTGAACACTGAAAAGAGAAGTCGTGTGTGTGTGTCCATTCATGTATGTTTATATTTAAACCTGTGGTTTATATACGGCTTACACACCCATCCCCGTGTTCTTGTTTCCTCCCCCTAATTAATTCTGGCTAATTTTTCAGTGACTGCTAGTTTATTTGCAAACTGGTTGGCAGCAGTATGTTTAAGTAGTCACTAATTGCTCCTAATGATAGTTTTATTTTCTGTTCATCTGATTTTCAGTCCAGTTAATTAAATCGGTGGAGGTTTAGACTTTCCTGATGGGCTGAAACAACCAATCCATTTTGCTGATGGCCCGTAATTAGATTAGCATGCATTACATGGCATGGATGCTGTCCCCCACCTCTTCCCCCAATCTCTGTGGCCAGCATGGGAAGCCAAGACCAGAGAAGGGGTTGGCAAGATGGGCCAAGATGCCTCTTCCCCTATTTGCAAAAACAATGACTTTGGTGGGAAAAAGAGTAAGAATTGGCTAAGGAAAGCAAACCGCAGCGTAGCTAGTTGGCATTTGTAATCACGCCGCAAACCGTCACGTAATTAGCAAGACCTGTTTCCCACGTGTGTGAGATGCATCATCTAAATTTCAGAATCCACGCTGGTACAAGTTAGGCGGGAAAATGCCATGTTCTCTGGTCTGGCGAGATGGGGAAGGTTTCGCTCATTACATAATATCATCACAGGCTCACCAAGCCTGGGAACGACCCGGGAGTCTCCCAGGAGGAGAGCCCGCTCTGAGCAGCTGGCGGCCCTCGGCCCCTCCTCCCACCGTCCCAGCGGCTCCGGGTTGCACCTGATTATTTGTCAGGTTTGTTTATTCAGTGCATCCCAGAGGTTAAAAGCAGGAAAGTAATCGGAGGATAGGGATTGGGGTTAAGCTTATCGATTGAATTATCATTAGGAGGTGAGCAGATGATTTCTAGGTGGGCAGGGGTGGCGGACCGGAAGACAGCGATGGGAAGAAGAAAGGTTAGGGGCTTGAGGTGTGCTGGGGGCTGGGGGGGCGGGGGGGAGGAGCAAGGCGGCTGATTCCCCAGGTAGGCCTTATGAAAGGTAGCTAGTTAAAAAGCGTACACAGCAAATTAAATACATTATTGTGATAATGGCGCGACAGAAGTGCGGGTCTATTATACTTATGGCAGTTATAGCAAATGTAGGCAGCTTGCCCTGTTCCAGAACACCCTTTGATTTTCATTCTATTCAGCAGCAGGGCCAGGACTTCTCAGAATTAAGTGATGGGTCATTATACTTTAAACACCATGGAGAAGCCTAGATTGGCAATTAAACAGCTCTTGCTGACACTCACTTGTGCCACCCTGTGACCCCCTTTAGATTGAGATGTTGGAGCTCCGGGCCCTCAGCCTGCTAAATTGGTGCAAGGCTCTTCTCCCGACGAGAGCGGGCTCTGAAATCTGCCGGCTTCAAAGGGAGCGAGATCATGTATAAACCATAATGTGGGTGCACCGTGGCTCACAAAAAAATAAGGCAGGGAGAGATGAAATGTTACAAGTGCAAGGGGGAAAATGAGAGAATAATGACAAACCTAATGCAACTCAAAGCAGGATTGTTGCACAGGAAAATGCATCCTACTGCTTGTGCATAAAATCAAGGCCGGCAGATGACATGCAGTTAACAGAAACGTGTCAACAGTGAAGGAAAGTGAGAGTGAGTACGGGAGAAGCCCCTGAGACAGCCAGAAACAAAAATTAGTTGTCCTTAACAAGTTAAGGTTCATCATTATATTCTGGCTTGGAGCCATGAAAGCAGACGGGGGTATCTAATGAGCTGCTTAGAATTTTTAGGGTGTTTATTGCACTCCACGAAGTAGGTGTCTGCAGAAAGGGATGTCTTAGGCGAAGGTGTGCTTCCAGCCCACACACACGCTCACACACAGTCTCTTCCTCTGCCACGTGTGTTTGTCACGACTACAAATGTGCGCCAAGGTCGGGATCCAGGAAGTCTCGCTGCTTCGCGGAGGTCCTGGGAGTTTGTCCCCACCCCAAAGTGCTCTCACACTGTGGGGTGTCGTCCTGTTGTGGTTGATGTGCAGGCAGCTGCATGTGCGTGCACACGCGTGTGTACAGCCCCCACGCACACACACACACACAGGGTTTCCATCACTTCCTCACCCGGCTTTCTCTCTCTCTCTCGTCTGTACCCATATGCTCGTTCTGCAGGGAGGGAATATATGTATTTGAGGAAGGTCAGGCCTTTGAAACTCCCAGGAAAGGCTGCCACTCCACCTCCCCCTCATCCAGGAGCTCCCAAGAACACATGTTTGTGAGAGGTTTTCTCTGCATCCCTTGAGCCGTGGGGAAGAGCAAGGTGTGACCTGGGAGCCCAGGTGCCTCCCAACGCCTTGCTTTTCTGGTTTTCTTTCTTTCTTTCTTTCTTTCTTTCTTTCTTTCTTTCTTTCTTTCTTTCTTTCTTTCTTTCTTTCTTTCTTTCTTTCAGGAGAAAAGGGTGGATGTTGTTTGGGCTTTTAAATCTTACTCTCCCTCTTCCCTCTCCCCTCTCCCCCTCTTCCCTCTCCTCCTCTCCCCCTCCTCCCCCTTCCCCCTCCTCCCCCTTTTCCCCTCTCCCCTCCTCCCTTCCCCCTTTTTCTCTCCTTCCCCCTCCTTCCTTCCCCCTCCCTCCTGCCCCTCTCCTTTTCTTTCTCTCTTCCCCTCTCCCTTCTCTCCCCCCTCCCCTCCTCCTCTCCCCCTCCCCTCTCCTTCCCTCCTTCCTTCCCCCCTCTCCTTTTCTTTTTCCCCCTTCCTCTCTTCTCTCTTCCCCTCTCCCCCTCCCTCCCTCTCTCCCCTCACCCCCTCCTCCTCTCCCTCCTCCCTCCCCCTCCTCTCCTTTTCTTTCCCCCTTCCTCTCTTCTCTCTCCCCCTCTTCCCCTCCTCCTCTCCCCCTCCCCCCCTCCCCTCACCCCCCTCCTCCTCTCCCTCCTCCCTCCCCCTCCGCTCCTTTTCTTTCCCCCTTCCTCCCTTTCTCTCTCCCCCTCTCCCCCTCCTCCTCTCCCCCTCCCTCCCTCTCTCCCCTTGCCCCCCTCCCCCTCTTCCTCTCCCTCTCTCCTCCCTTCCCCTCCCTCCTCCCTCCTCCCCCCTCTCCTTTTCTTTCCCCCTTCCTCTCTTCCCCTCTCCCTTCTTTCCTCTCCCTTCCCTTTCTCCTCCCCACCTCCCCCATACCCTAGAAATCACATCACTGTTAGCAAGCTTTGGCACCACCTCAAATGCACCAAGGCAGAGACAGGGAGGGGCCCCGTTGGTGGCGTCTCCAAGTCAAGCCTCTCCTGTGGCTCTGTGCACTGCTCGTCGGTGCCGCTCCGCTCTGCTGAGCTGTGTAAATTCAGCGCGTGCTTTAATTTTCAAATGTGTGACTTTGACCAAACAAAAACTCTTCCATCCATACGTGGGAAGACTCTTGTTAGCATGGAAGCCTGCCTGGCCTCATAGAAGTGCAGAGGTGGGGAGGCAGGGCTCCAGAGGCCAGGAAGGGTGAGGGGAGGGCATAGAGGGGGGCCAGATCAGGGCCCAAGGATGAGTTGCAGGGGAGGAGGAAGGGCTGCAAGGCCACCGCAGGGCGACCACTGGGTGTAACAGTTCATCAGATTTTTCATAAAAACCAGCAGAGAGAAGTTTGGAGGTCTCCAGCACCAAGAAGTGATAAAAAGCAGATGGGAATGTTAATCAGCCTGATTGGACGGTTACACATTGTGTTCATGTATCAAATGATCATAACTCTATCCCAGAAATATGTACAACTACAAATGTTTTTAAATGAAAAAAATAAATATGGGATTGTTTTTGAAATAATTGTCACGATAAAACCCCATTAGGACCTCAGGTTCCCTCCAGAATTGGCCATTGAAAGAGCAAAGCAGGTTACTATGCCATAGATGATGTGTTGGCCTATTTTGGTTTTAGATATATTAAGAAAATTCTCTGTCTCTCCCACCCTTTCTCTCTGCAACTCTGAGTTTCAAAATACATAAATGTTTTAAAAAAAAAAAGTTGGCCGGCGCCGCGGCTCACCAGGCTAATCCTCCACCTGCGGTGCCGGCACACCGGGTTCTAGTCCCGGTCGGGGCGCCAGATTCTGTCCCGGTTGCTCCTCTTCCAGTCCAGCTCTCTGCTGTAGCCCGGCAAAGCAGTGGAGGATGGGCCAAGTGCTTGGGCCCTGCACCCGCATGGGAGACCAGGAGGAAACACCCGGCTCCTGGCTTCGGATCGGTGCAACGCGCCAGCCACAGCGCACCAGCTGTAGCGGCCATTTGGGGGGTGAACCAACGGAAAAGGAAGACCTTTCTTTCTGTCTCTCTCTCTCACTGTCTAACTCTGCCTGTAAAAAAATAAATAAATAAATAAATAAAAAATGGTGCTAGCATTTTGGCATAGCAGCTAAAGACGCTAACTGCAATGCTGGCATCCCATAGGGACAAGTCCCAACTGCTCTACTTCCAATCCAGCTCCCTGCTGATGGCCTGGGAAAAGCAGTGGAAGATGGCCCAAGTGCTTGGACCATTTGGGGAGTGAACCAATAGATGAAAGAACTCTCTCTCTTTTTGCAACTCTGACTTTCAAAATAAACAAGTAGTTTTTGTTTTTTGTGGTTTTTTTTTTTTTTTTGTAAGGAGAGTCACACTCTCCTGCAAATTAGAGTTTTTTTCTTTTTCTTTTTTAGATTTATTTATTTACTTGAAAGGGAGAATTACAGATGGAGAAGGAGAGACAAAGGTCTTCCACCTACTGGTTCACTCCCCCAATGGCTACAACAGGCGGAGCTGAGCCAACCCAAAGCCAGGAGCCAGGAGCTTCCTGCAGGTCTCCCATGTGGGTACAGAGGGCGCAACCACATGGGCCATCTTCTATTGCTTTCCCAGGCCATAGCAGAGAGCTGGATCAAAAGTGGAGCAGCTGGGATACAAACCGGTACCCACACAGGATGCCAGTGCCACAGGTGGAGGCTTTAGCCCACTACAGCTTCCCTGATGATCAGCCGTGTAACCTAGCCAGACTGGGCGAGGGGGCAGCATTTATTTTCTTTTGAAATTCAGCCCTTTTTGCCCTCGCCCTGCTCTTCTCTCCTGTAGTCCACGTGGCTTTAAGAGCAGTGGCTCATCAACCCCAGTAAGAGGGTGACTCCAAGAATGTCCCAGAATCAGAGAGCTAGTTGTCTGTTTGCATATGGGCCGAGGGTCATGTGAAATTGGTTCCTCATGTCCTGGCTGATTTGCATGGTTGGGAATTGCCAGTTCAGGGCCTAATATGTAATTGAAAGAAGTTTGCTAAAGTTGAACAGTTTCAGTGTCTTTCCTGCATCTGTAATCTTGTATTCATGTGATTTAGAAATCTTACATTGTAGAGGAAACCGGGCATAGGAGTGAGAATTGAAAGCTTTTTGTGTGTGTTTGGGGGAGTGTTTTACATCCTTCCATAAAGTGATACAAATTTAAACTTATTTAAATCGCGCATGAGGGCTGACACTGGGGTAGGGGGTAAAGCTGCCTCCTGCAACACCAGCATCCCAGGTGGGCGCCAGTTCAAGTCCCAGATGCTCCACTTCTGATCTGGCTTTCTGCTAATGTGCCTGGGAGAGCAGCGGAGGATGGCCCAAGGACCACATGGGAGACCTGGCTTCTGACCACCCCAGCTGCGGCCATTACGGTCATTGGGGAAATGAACCAGCCAATGAAGACATTCATCCTTCCTCTCTCTCTCTCTCTCTCTCTCTCTCTCTCTCTCTCTCTCCCTCTCCCTCTCCCTCTCCCTCTCCCTCTCCCTCTCTCTCCCTCTCCCTCTCCCTCTCCCTCTCCCTCTCCCTCAAAATAAAAACCCCAACATCGAAAAAAAAAAAAAATTTTTAAATAAGTAAATCTTTAAAAAAAAAAAAGAAATAAAAATGAAGCATTCCTCACTTACGATGCGAGCCAAACAAGAAATATTTAGATGTCCCCTCATCTTCCTGCCTCACCGTTTCCCGTTCCTGTCAAGCAATGGGCACAGCAGCAAGCAAGAGGAACATAATTTTATTGCAGCTCATCAGCAGAGTGGGACCTAATGAGGCGTGCACAGCACTGTCAACACTTGCGTGTCTGTTTCAGCCACGTTAATATTTTATGCAGCTGTCAATAGGCAGCACGAGATTTCACCTTCCACTCTCGGGCTGATTAGGACATAGGAAATTGTCTTCTTAGATGCCACTAATAATCTTCCAAACAAGAGTGGACGTGCGGTCTCCAGCAGGTAGTCCAAGCCCGCTTTTCCGCCCAAGTACATCAGTTGAATTTGTCTTTTGCTAAAGATGTTAAAAATTATAATGTCTCATGTCAGTAGCAATAATGAAGGGGAAGATTGGCTTTAATGACATTATGAGAATCATTATGTTTAATTTATCGCTAATTAATGCTGACAGGTTTCATATGCCTCGGGTTGCTTTCATGTGAGTGCCACGTGCTGGGTGTTTTTTTTTTTTGAATTGTGTGTACACATCCCTCCTCATTCATTCATTTTGATTCTGACGATTTACACAGCTTCCTGTCTTCCAGGTTCCCTCCCCACATGGTTCCACCACATCACACTCTGCACACGACCGGCATCCCCCACCCGGCCATAGTCACACCCACAGTGAAGCAGGAATCCTCCCAGAGTGACGTCGGCTCACTCCACAGCTCGTAAGTGCCGCTCTTGGGACTGCTTTCCTGGGAGGCTCTGGTCGTGGGCCGGTGGCGCTCTGCTGGGGCTGGCCTCCCGTGGCTCGACACCAGCCAGCACTGTTCCCAGGAGGCCTGAGGGCTCCCTATGAGGAAAGAGAAGGCCTCAGTGCTGGGTCTCGTAGCTTAGGATAGAACTCTGCTCACGAGTGCACTCCGCTGGGCTGAGGCAACCTTGGTGGCTTCGTTCTGTGAGTGCCAGGGCAGCTGCCGACGTGGAGATGGTGCCAGGACGTTCTCCCCTCCATCCTGGCGGAAATTCTGTGCTCCTGAAACTTGAAGAAGTGGTCACAAAGCTTCTGTCTTCCCCCACTCCTCTCAAGCTGGTTTTCTTCCTGTTTTTTTTTTTTTGTTTGGGGGGGGGTCAGATGGAGAAGATGCAAAGTGGGTGCGAGCCTCGGGGTGGTTGACTGGACTCTGTCTCTTTGGCCTCCACGCAGAAAGCATCAGGACTCCAAGAAGGAAGAGGAGAAGAAGAAGCCCCACATAAAGAAACCTCTTAACGCGTTCATGTTGTATATGAAGGAGATGAGAGCCAAGGTCGTCGCCGAGTGCACACTGAAAGAGAGTGCGGCCATCAACCAGATCCTGGGGCGGAGGGTAGGTGGCCCCCATCCCGGGGGGCAGTGGGCCGGGTGGCAAGATGCCCTTGTCCCCATTTCCTTGAAAGTCCTCGAATGCCTTCCAGGGAGACGGGACCGGTCATTCCCCAGTCAGGCTGTATTCAGCGCAGGCCCAGCCCTCACTTGTTCCCACGACAGAGGAGGCAGAAGACAGAACCCCGTAGAAGAGCAGTCGGGTTTTGTCTCTGCGCTCCTGTTAGTCCTGGGGCCCGGCAAACTCACGGAGCCCGCAGGTTCACCACTTCCAGTCGGACGCGACTCAGAAAGAAGCGTTGCTTGTGGTCCACACGGCCGTGGTGCAGTTGGTGATGTTTTTGCGTCTTTCTCCCCTGCACCACCTGTCTCCTCCCCTGCAGTGGCATGCGCTGTCCAGAGAGGAGCAAGCAAAATATTACGAGCTGGCCCGGAAGGAGCGACAGCTTCACATGCAGCTCTACCCTGGCTGGTCCGCGCGGGATAACTACGTAAGTGGATCATTCTCCGTGCAGCTGTCGTGTGTGTCCACGTGGACAGACAGAACGGGCACTGCCAACTTGAACCCAGCCTCTGGACCGTTCAGTCCCGCCCACCTCTGGGGCTGTTAGCAGCTGCCTGCGCACCAAGTGGGAGAATCTTACTTGGCTTCCAGATTGCAGTGTTGGGGCAGGGGGATGAGGCTGGTGGTCAGATGTTCCAGCTTGGGACACATGAAATTGATTTGGGACTGTCTGTACTTGCTTTACCCACGTCTTAGAAGTGGCAGGGCTGTAGGATAGGCCCGGAGGAGCTTAAGTTCCAGGTTAGGTCGCCCATGCTCCTTGGTACCATGTGGAGTAGCCCTAGAAGGAAGACCAGGGGCGATGGGTGGAGGGAGGAAGAGCTTTCCATTCCTCATAGGTCTTCCAGCCCGGCCTGCTCTCTAAAGAAGGAAAAGCAAAAGTGTTGCCTTGTGCTATGACGCAGAAGCTGGAAGCCCGTTTCATCCAGAGAGGGGCATGATGGGAATATCCCTGGAAGTAGCCAGAAGTCATCCTTTGGCGAGATGGATGACTGTAGGCCCTGCGGGGGTCGGGAGGGGCGCGTGTTGCCGAGCTCTGTGTCGGCTGTGGGATTTGCCCAGTTCCTCTCCCAGTGTTTCACAGCAGTAGGATTGCAGTGCTCATGACCCCGCCATTCTTGTCCTGCCGTGAACTTGCTGTCCTGGACACACCATGCTGACCCTTCTCGCCGTTATTTCTTACCCTGCTCGCCCCGGATCTCAAGCCCTGGGCTCTTCTCTTCTCGAAAGGGGATGCCGTGCCTCTTCCTCTGCCTGATTCCTTATCACAGGGCACTGGACTTTGTGACGCCATCTTGGCATCTCTCTTCTGGGAAACTTGTCTTGGCACAAGTCCAGGTCTCTGCACCCATCTTGCTGAGGTCATGGAGCCTTCGGGGATAGATAACTCAGTGCTCCCCGACTTGGCCCTACTGGTGCTGCCATCCGTGAGGAAGAGGCTCCCTGTGTGTGGGGTTGAGATCATTCTCGATGGTGTACTTAGCACACAGCACCGTATTGTGAGGGTTGAGAATTAAGTCGACATCTTTATTCTTTCATACCTTCTGGTGCACCAAAAAATCAACAATATCTATGCAACCAGAAAGGCTGCTTTTCACGCGCTCTGATTCCCTAGTTCAAGTTCACAGGTCCCTGCCTCTTTATGCTCATACCTTTTACACATGCTTACAAGACTGCTTCTTGCTGTGTAGATAGGGGAGAAGGAAGAACAGAGAGACTCTTGGGCCTAACTCCTACGACCCTGCCTGTCTCCCTGTAGGCCCCACTGCCCCTGGCTGGCAGCACTAGATGGCATTCCACCTGGGAGTCAGAACAGGAAGTAGTGCTAGTCCCTGTCCATGGCACGTTAGCTCTGCCAGGACCCCATGTCACCAATAGATGGGCACATGCGAGGTCTTCATAGCCAGGACCTCTCTTGGGTCCCCAGCATGTGCGTGGTGCGGAAATCTTTCTTCTGGAGCTGAACGGAGGATGAGAAAGTCCACACACTCCACAGGCTTGCTGCCCACCCCGTCTGACCCCGGCTCCGTAGCTTGTGCACACGCAGCCGTATCGGTTCAGGGCAGCTGCCCGCCTGGTCTCGGGTCAGCTTCTGCCTCCTGCAGACCCTATTCTTTGAGCCATCTAGAATGGTCCCACGAGAGGGACCTCAGCTTCTCTGTAGCTAGCATATCCCCAGGAGACGTTTTGGGTCATAGACAGGTGTGCAGGGCCCACGCTGCACAACTCGAGAGGGTGTGCCATTGGCACTGTGGTCTGTAGAATGGTGCCCCTTGGAGTTGTGCACAAGGCCGGCGTCCTGAGAACGTCAGGAAGAAGAAGGCTGTGTAGTCCTGGCTGGGAATCACGGAGACAAGGCGTGACCTGCAGTGACTTCAGCTCAGTTTTCCATTCAGAAGGTGGCTTAGTGTCATCATAAAGGGACTTGTGAGGAGCCTTGAACATTTAGACGTAGATCTGGGCTTAGGGCTACAGAAGTCTGGTGTCACAGTGGCTTCTTGCACTTGCGTGTGAACACACACACACACACACACACACACATGTCCTCCTTGCTTTCGTGTTCCGAGAACAGTCTCAGGACAGGAATCACAGACTTGAAGCTTTTGTGGATTTAGTTGTAGCAGAAGGCATAGTATTTCCTTGTAGCCAGCTCAACCTAGGAGTTCATAGGAAGATCAGCTTGGTCGCTGTTAGGTCCAAATGGAGCTTCTGGAAAATGCTGAGCTGCCGCCTCCTGCTCTGGTAGGCACGTGGTGACAGCAGCAGCGTTGAGTAAAACAATCACCTTTGTGTCTTCAGACTTAGAGAAAATACTCTGGGTGCCGTGGTAAAATCGAACCCCTGACATTGCATTAGAACGTTATTTCTTCTCAAACTTCCTGTGTTAGGGAAGGGGCATAAATCCTATGTCATTTGCTCATGTTGAGCTGTTTTCTCCCTCTCCCTCCTGTGTAATAGACCTTTTCTTTCTTTCTTATTTTTTATTTACTTGAGTGACAGAGCTCCCATCCCTCTGGTTCACTCCCCAAATGCCCTCATGGCTGGGCCTGGGCCAGGGCCGAAGCCAGGAGCTGGACACTCAGTCCAGGTCTCCGGCGTTGAGTGGCAGGAACCCACTTATTTGAACCATTGCTGTGGCCTCCCAGCATTAGCAGGAAGCTGAAGTCAGGAGCTGGAGCCAGGACTGAAACCCAGGCACTCCAGGATGGGACACGGGTTTTTTACCTGATGGCCTGGAACACCTGCTCCGAGGTCTTGTCTTTCTTTAGTTGCAGGTGGACCAGCAGCGGGGTGGCCAGAGGCCTGGAGTCTAGATAGTGCTTTCCTCAGCCACCAGTGGCTTCCTGTGGGCAGGGGACCTTCCAGGTGCCTTCAGAGTACACCGCATGGGTGGGAAACGGGTAGTAGCGTGTGAAAGACGTCTGCAGAGCCCTGCAACCCCCTGCAAGCTGGACTTGCCCTCTGCCCAGTTGAGTTTCCGCTTGAGGCTGCTGAGTCCCCTGAGCCCAGCAGGCTAGCAGACCTGGTGCCTGGTGCACGGCAGCCGGGTGGCACGTGGCTCTGGTCATGGGGGAGGCACAGATAGCAACAGGGTGCTGCAGGCTCGTGAGACGCAGGCCTCGCGACAAGGCCAGAACCCCCCTTAAAGCAACTGTGTACTGAGGGGTACAGCATGTCCAAACAGAAGCCCTGGACCAGTGGACAGAGTTACTCCCAAGCGTCCCAGGCCCCCAGATGGAAGGAGAGCTCTCTGATGTTTCCGGCCCGAGCTTCTCACGGAGCTTACACGTTCTCAGGGGTTCTACTCACCGCCGAGCTTTTCTCTTTGGCCTTGGCCTCAGCTTGCCGTGAGAGCCTTTAGGCAAAGGCAGTGAGTAGAATCCTGAGACGCGTAGAAGTGTAAGGCCATTTATTTGCTTTTGATTTGTACCAGCCAGCCAACTCGTACGGATTGGGCTGGTGCTAATGAGGTGAGCGAGAACTAATTTTAGACCAGGAATGAGGCACTTGCCCCTACAGAATTCCTCCCTTGTCCAATCCATAACCTGAGCTGACCGTCCAGGTGTCACGCAGGCCGAGGGTGGGGGATGTGAATGACTCCATGCGATCGGCCACCCCTTATCATTGAAGAAAGAGCTTCCTGGGGCAAGCGTTGGGAGCAGCGGTTAAAACACCTCTTGGGACACCCACATCCCGTACTGGAGTGCCTGGGTTCAAGTCCTGGCTCTGATTCTGATCCCAGCTTTCTGGGATCTGTGAGCCCTGGGGAGCAGCAGGTAATGGCTGAAGGACTTGGATCCCTGCCACCTATATGGAAGACCCAGATTGAACCCAGGTTCCTGGCTGCAGTCTGGCACAACCCCAGTTGTTAGCATTTGGGGAATGATGAGAGATTCTCCCTCTCCCTCTCCTTCCCCCACCCTCTCTCTCCCTCGCTCCCTCTCTCCCTCTCTCTCTCTCTCTCTGCCTTTCAAGGGGGAAAAAATAGGGTTTCCTTAGAAGACCAAGCATTAAATATCCAAGACTGCCTTAATTCTTATCCTGGCCGAGCTACGTGGTAGCTGTGTGACCTCAGGAAACTTACCTAGCCCTCTGTACCTCAGTTTCCTAGTCTGTGAAATGGGAGTGGTGCGAGTCCTGGTTGAATAGGATTGTGGCTGAGTGAGCTGGTCTGTGCAGCATACTCACAGTTGTGCCTGCCACCTAGCACACGCTCAGGAAATGTTAGCTGTCCCCCGGAGTATCACTGCTGCTCGTCACACAGACGCTTGGGCCTATGATTTTTCCGGAAGCATAACCATACAAACATTCTTTAGCTCTCGATAAAATATCCAAAATATGACCTGAGATACTCCGTGCTTGATTATAAAATAGACTTTGTGTTAGATGGCTGTGCCCAATCGTAGGCTAACACCAGGGTGCTGAGCGTATGGAAGGTGGGTTGGCTGTGTGATGTCTGATAGGGGGGTGTACTAGGTGCCTTTCAATGACATTTTCCACCTGTGATGGTTTTTATCAGAAGGTAGCCAGTGGTACATGGGGGAGCCTCTGTGTAGGCTGCGAATGGAGGGGACGACCTTTCTGTGGGTTCTGCCCAGCAGGTGTGCGAGGATCCCGGATGGTTCCCAGCTCTGTCACTCCTGCCCCTTCCATCTTTTAAAACCCAGGCCTGCACTAGAGCTCTCTGAGGAACCCATCCTGAAGCTCTCCTCTTCAGGCAGAAGAGGGGCACCCTGGCCTTACTGAGGCTGCGCGGTTGAGTGGGGCAGACCCAGCAGCTCTCTCAGCCACCCCGGCTGGCCCGCGCTGTGTGCACCTGCTCCCTGGAGTCAGACCCTGGGGCGGCTTCCACCCCCTGAATCTTCCCCTCCTCCTTCCATTTCCCGGAACCGGATCAGCCCTGGTCAGGTTTGGGAACGGACAGAGACCTGCGCGTCATAGCATGGATCTTCCCTTCTTCACTGGTTCCACCGTCCTCTTCCCCTAGGGCCATGTTGTGTCCCCCCAGCTGGGGCACAGCTCAGGGCGTTTGGATTAAAGGGGGTTAGAGGTTGGACAGGTTCTGTGGGTGGGTGTGCATGGAAGTGGCAAGAGGGTCCATTCCTGCTGCCTTTCCTGAAATAATTCCCTTGTGTTTCATCTGTTCACCTAGGGGAAGAAGAAGAAGAGGAAAAGGGACAAGCAACCGGGAGAGACCAATGGTAAGTGACAGCACTCAGGATGGAGGAAGGCCCACTCCTTGATGTTAGGCTCCCAGCTGGGGCAGGCAGGAGAAACTCAAGGCCAGGACCTTGTGGGGGATCCCATGTAGCCAGCCTCTTCTGTTTATGCATTTTAATTAATTGCTTCATGACTGCCCTGTTAAAGCTAGTAACATTCATTGTTGCATGAAAAGCACATTGTAACTCTAGTGGAATGTGTTTTTAAATAACTTTTGCAAAGCCTGTAACGAGAGCCAGCAGTAGGCATGCCTAGGCTGGGGTTGATTCAGTCTACTTATTTTGTATGTGTCTGAGAAGGGGTGAGGAGGGGGCCTGGGGGAGCCGGAGGAGGGGGTGTGTGTGAGTGTCTGATATTAATGGGCTGTTCCTGAATGTTCTGATGCATGCCTTTACAGTGGTCAATTGCACCCATTTTAAATTAAGGAGGTTTGTCATTCTCTAGAAGAAATTAGAAATACTGCATAGGCAATCTCAGAGGTCCCTTGGAGAAGGCCAGGCTTTTACAGTCAAACAAAACAAAAGTTTTGAAGGCTTTGTATAATTTGTTCTTTTTTTTCAGAACACAGCGAATGTTTCCTAAATCCTTGCCTTTCACTTCCTCCGATTACAGGTGCTAATGTCATTTTGAGTCATTAAAGTAGTTGATAAACTGTTTTTTAATTTTTCTTGCCATGATAGTTTTATTAACATTAAACACGTATGACATTTAAATATTTCTTTAAAATGACCATCTACACGGTTCTGTATGTTTCAGTAGATTTTTTTTTTCTCAGTTGCTTTGGTTGTTTTTTAATTTTTTTTGAATTTGATGTAACTTTGGTTTTGTTTATTTATTTATTTTTCCCATAAAAGTTGTTTAAGCAGTGATGACAGTGATTTAGAGTTGAACTAACTGTGCAAATTGAATATGCAGTATTTCTTTAAAAGAGACTGGTTAAAAAAAAAGAAAAGAAAAACAAATGGAAGGAATTCAGTAATAAACCTCCTTAATCTAATGGCATTTTTTCATCGCTCCCACTAAGTTTTCTCACGCAAGCATGCATCCGCAGTATGATTATTTTTTCCTTTGCTTTTTTTTTGTTTTAGTTTTTTTCTTCCTTTTGCTTTTCTGCTCATAATTTGCAAATCCACTAGCATTTTACTGACTCTGCCTGCAGACCTGCTGCTGTGAGCTTCTAACTAACTCTTAACAGCTCATTCACACAGCTGTGTTTATCTTTATCTGTTCCTCTCTTAATATTAATAAAAATAGATTAAAAAAAAAGATGACCATTCCAAAAGCTGCAATATCCCAGTACCACAACCCTTTTCTTTCTTTATTTCTTTCTGTTTCATTTCATTTTGTTCTGTTTTTATTTGTAGTTTTTTTTTCCTTTTTTAAACTGTTGTACTCTAAGAAGAAAAAAGCATGTTACAAACTTAATTCCCTCCTTCGCTTTATTTTCTTCTTTAAGAAAAAAAAATTGAGAGGAAAAAAAAGCAGAACTAAAAGAGAAAAAAAATAATTCCAAGTGTGAGTTCTTGAGTATCTAACTTCCCTTTGTCAGCTCAAATCGAATCTGAGAGACAGTCCTTAAAGAAGGGATACTGCAGCTTTATTTGCAACAGCTAATTTCACAAGTGGAATAAGAATGTGATTTTTACTTTTTTTTTAATTAAAGAAAGTTTAAAAAAAGAACGTCAATATTTTGCAAATTAGTAACCAGGTCATTGATTTATTCCCTTTTTTATTTTTATTTTTTTCTTATTTGTATCTTTCTCTCCCCCCTCCCTCCCTCTCTCTCTCTCTCTTTCTCCCTCTCTCTCTCTCTCTCCTCTCCCTTTCTCCCACCGTCCTCCTCCTCTGCTCGCTTCTTTCTTGAACTCATTCAGACCTGAGCGCTCCTAAGAAATGCCGAGCGCGCTTTGGCCTTGATCAACAGAATAACTGGTGCGGCCCTTGCAGGTGTGTATAGTTCCCAGATTCGCTGTGCTGGTTTGCAGCTGGTCTCTGCCATCCCTTCCCCCTCTCTGGCCTGTTGCTCTGTAGCTCTGTGTGTGGATCTTAGGAGACACGAGGGAGTGGGACATTGCCAGGTGTATGGGCTCTGTGAGGGATGTGCTATTCTCCCGCTGCTGCTGCCAAAATGCCACTGTAAAACAGCATCGCGCGTGCCTCCTCGGGGAGCGCCCGCGAGCCCCAGCGCCCTCTCCCGGGGAATGTTGCCTGCCAACCCCCCCTTCCTGGCACCGCCCAGGACCGTGCTCCTGGCCTAGGTAGAAGCCACTGACGTCACCTTCTCCCCTCCTCTTCTCTCTGGTTTTATTTTTTTTATTTTTATTTTTTATTTTTTGATTTATTTTTCATCGTTGTGTTTTGGTTTCTGGCTGTTGGTTTTTTGTGTGTGTGTGCGTGTTTTATCCTTTTTTTGTTTTGTTTTGTTGTTTTGTTTTGCGTTTGACTCATGGCAGTCCCTTCCTGTCCATGTCCTCGGTGAGGCAAGCTTACCGAGTAGAGCCGAGGCGATGTAGAAGAAGAGCGAGCGCTAGCGAGATCTCACATCCAACTGAGCACGACCCACCATTGTGTTGTGTTTTTTGTGTTTACCTTATGCTAACAGATGCAAATACTCCAAAGAAGTGTCGGGCACTGTTCGGGCTTGACAGACAGACTTTATGGTGCAAGCCGTGCAGGTATATCTCCACTGCGAGGCCTCTGGGAAAATCAAAGCCTTCTGTCCTCTTGGTGCCTTAGCGGGACCATGTATTATGACCTTGTTCCATCTGCCTCCCCCACTGGCATCAATGACTAATGATCCTTGCTCTTCAAGATTCCCTTGCTGATTTTATGCCATGTCCTCTTCCCCACTTTCTCTCTCTCTCTCTCTCTCTTCCCTGCCCACTCCTAAACCCTGTTCTTTCGAATAACATATCCTTGGTGGTGGGACTGAGATCACAGCCTTCACAGATAAGGACTGGTCCTCGTGTTTTGGAAGCCAGCGCCCCTCCCCTCCCCAGCACCTTGGTGGGAGTCCTGAGCATAGAGGACCACCGTTGCCAAAGGGCTGAGTGAGCGCAGGGCTGAGCGAGCGCAGAAGTTGGCAGCGACAGCATTCCCCCTGCACTTGGAGTCGTGTCACTCGGAGAAGTGCTCTGGGGCAGGCTTTTTGTTTTTGTTTTTGTTTTTTCCTCCTCCTCCTCCTTCTCCTCCACCTCCTTTTCCTCCTTTGGGTTTTACATTATGTTTACAAAGCACGTGTCTGTGTTCAGAGGCGCTTCGTGAGCCAACCTTGTTTTACAGTGCTGAAAAAGAAGCGTGGCATTGAACGGCATGCACCAGCTTTAAGGGCTGCAAGCAGTGCGTGGTGCAGTCCCGCACTGCAGCGTTGCTAGGCCTGCAGCATGAGAAACCCGCATATATACATGCATACGGGCGTGGACACGTATGCATACATAGCCCTGGTTCCAAATCCAATCAGAACCGCCCAGAGAGTCCCATGTAAGCACCTGTGTTCCACCTGCAGGCTTCCATCCTCTCAGGGAAGGTGTAGGTACTGCCTTCTTGGTGGAGGGAGTCCCCCTTAGTTCCCGTCTCATTTCCTTTCCTTTAATGAGCACCTTTGGTTAAATTTGTTGTTTCTTTGTTCTGATACAAGCAGTCTTTGAATTTGGAATATTATGATGGTAGGTATCTCAACACCCCAGACACGCTTCCCTGTTTGTAATGCCTCCCTCGTCACGTGTCCCTCTCCTCCATGCCTCTGCCATGTGCTCCGTGTCTAGACGCTAGATCAGACGTCCATCCCATCACGTGCATGCCCACCAGTCTCCTGTGTCTCTGCCCCCCAACTCTGACGCTAGCAGGAGGCATTGGTGAAGGGCCTCCCCTTCACCACGCGAGCGATAGGAGAGCGAGGGACCTACCCAGGCGGCCCCCTGCCCGTTGAGTGAGGGACTTGGGGCCTTCAGTGACCAGCCCTGGTCCCTCTGTGAGCTGGGGGTGTTCCCAGGGGTGTGTGACGAGTGTCTTTGAGCATGACAAAGTCGGTGAAGGGCGATGAGCTGTTTGGCTAGGACGAGCAGGGACTCCACTTGACCCTCCGCGGGCAGCCAGCCGGCTGTGACATCCCGTCCCGAGGCAGCTGCTGTGGCAAGTGGCTTGCTCGCCACGGGGGCCACTCACAGGAGGCTTCTCAGGAGCCGCACACATGCCCAGTAGCTCCCTTTGCGAGGCTGCTTCAGGTGCCTGGTTGGTTGGTTGTGTTCATGGGGTAGGGGCTGGGTGTGGATTTCTGATTTGCTTCAGGAGCAGGTGCTGCAAATGAGACACAGCTATTAGTGACAGTGACCAGGACAGACATCCCCCCCGCCACCCCGCCCCTCACAAAACTCACACCTTGTTTATTAAAGCCCAGGTGTGGGGTCTCCCTCAGGGACCAAGATTTTCTTGATAATAATACTAGTAGTAACATCGGCCATGCCCCAACCTTTATAGCGGCTTCATGTTATGGGGACACTTTCAGGGCTGAGTCCCTTGTCGTGTTGATCCATGCCACAGGAAGTGGAGCTCGGCCAGCCCTTGGCAGTCCCTGGTTTGCTTTCCAGCCTCAGCACCTGAGGACGTTCCCACGGCTGTGTCTCCGCCCTGGGTTTTCATGTCATTGAGGTGCTAGCATGTACGTTTCTGCTGGCCTTTGAGGGCAACCTTCTGAAACAGGACGAGGAACTTGAGAATATGTAGGAGCGAGGAACAGAGTTCTGAGTGGCGCTTCCCTGCGTGGAGGTGGAGCCTGGTGGTGGTGTGGGGGTGAGAGGCTGAGTTTTCTCCCGGAAGTTACCTGTCCCTTCCCACCCCACCCCCCAACCTTGCCTTTTCTAGCTGTGCCCCGACCATGTCTGGCTTAATGCTAAAATCAATAAGGACTAAATGTGCTTTGCAAAAAAGAAGGCAAGCTGTTGCAAGGCAAGGCATTTTCTGACTTGTCAGAAATGTGTTCCAACTGCCTGTCGCCCCATTGGGAGAGAGCAGTGCGCTGTGGTCAGTCTCCGTCCCAGGTCCAGCACATCCCACCCCCCAGATCTGGAAACCTCCATCCTAAGGAGGGCGGGAGGGGTGAGGAAAGACCAGAGATGCTCCTGGTCCATCAGGGCTCCCAGCTCACCACACGGGGTTGCCCACGTTGCTGCATTTGAGGACATTGAAAGCAGACTCTGTTTGGAGCCCACCAAGTTGCTCTCCGTCTCTCTTCGCTCCGCCCTCATGTAGCATGAGACGTGCCGCTTGCTGTCATTCCTTCGTCCCCCCAGCCCTTCCTCCCCTTCCTGCCCCCTCATTGCTCTCTAGTTGTGCATCTGCCTCTCCCCACCCTGCCCCCACCCCGTCCCTCTCCCATTTTTACAATGCATGGGCATCCTAGTTTTTGGAGCATGTTTTGATCTGCAGGCTAAGGTGGTTTCGAACTCTGAGAGCCTTCATTATTTTTCTTGGATTTCTGGGGCGGGAGCAGAAGCCATGGTCTTACTTTAATTTGCCCTGGGGAGAAAAAGGCACGCTGCCCATTTTGAGGGTGAGAGGGGGCTGCCCCTGCTCCTCTAGAGTTCCTTCTGACCCGTAAGTGACAGAGAGAGACCCTGAGACCCCTACCCCATTAGGTCTCAGCCCCTGGGAAGCGGGAAGGACCAGCATGCCCCCCTCCTCTCCTTCCCCTCCCTTCCCTTCCCCTCCTGCCATCTTGCCAAGCCCACATGCCCCATGCACAGGGCGTCATGAGCCAGTGACTCTGGGGCACAGAACGAGAGAGGAAGAGCTGTGTACGCCCCCTTCCTTCCCGAGCCGGTGCCCTGTGTGACAGTGGTGGCCTTCCAGTGGGCAGTGTCTGAGTTGCTCTCCGGTGGTAGGAAGCCAGCCGGCTCTCATATGCTTATCCTCAGAGACTCACTTGCTGCCGGCCGTGGCTCTTGAGTGTGTCTGGAGGGTCCTTCCATGAGCTCATTCCCGATCTGCATTATTTTTCTGGCATTAGCGGGGTTGATCCCAGGATCACCTTTCCTACCAAAGGCAACCCCACCAGGCTGGGATGAATGGCAGGAGAAGCTTTGAAGTCACATGCTCAATTTCTTGAGTTGATTTTCCCTGACCTCATCCTTTGATGACAAGCAAGGCAGGCTCTGAAACCCTCGTGCGTGCTTGTTACATAAATGGGGAGCGAGAGAGGAGAGATTCTGGTTATGGTGCAAAATTAGTCTTTGTGGCTACTACACCCCTCAGGACAACCCCAGCCCAGGGAGGTCCCTGCCGCGGTTCCCTGGCGTTTCTTCTTTGTCACTTCTCTGTGAGGGTCACACTCAGCATAGTGACAAGGGCAGGGCGCCCCTCCATCCCATGCACAAGTCTCTCCTTCCAAACCTTCTCACTGTGGGCTGGGGGAGGGCAAGCCCCAAATCTCCAAAAGCCAAAAACTAAACTCCAGTTTGGATCTGAATTCAATCCACAACCTGCAGGCCATACAACCAGTTATTCTCGTTCCTTTGGATCATTTTTCTGTTTTTCTTATTCTTCCCCCTCCCCCACCTTTGTTTATCCTCTTCTACCTGTTTTTGGTGGTTTTTTTTTTTTTTTTTTGGTTTTGGTTTTGGTTTTCTTTTGGTTTTTGTTTTTTGAGTTTATTTTGTTCGAGTTTTGTTTCCCCGCCTCCCTCCCCCCTGATTCTCACCTCTCTTGATTTGGTGTGGTTCTGAACAGACAAGCCCACGAGCTGTCTGGGCGCCAGCAGCCTCATGGTGGTGGTGGTGGTGGTGGTGGTGGTGGTGGTGGTGGTGGTGGTGTGGTTTAAACCTTGAAGCCTCTCGCTCGCACCGCCTTCAGCTATGTGGGCTCCACAGTCAGCATTTTCACTTTCCTATTGATACGAGGCGGCTGGGGAAGGAGCTCTGTCTTTCTCTTTGAAACACACACACAAATCACTGGGGGTGGGGGTGGGGGTGGGGAGAAGGAAATATGATGGGAGAGTTGAGGGTGGGGATGTCTAAGCCAGAAGCTGGTCAGCTCCTCTCAGTTGAGACAAAGCACCTCCTGGCAAATCCATGCCACCCCCCTGCACCTGCCGGTGGCTTCCCTTAGCCTGCTAGCTTACACCTGGGCAGGGGTGGGGCCCTGGGGGCGTGGGAGGGGGCGGGGGCAGGGAGCAGGTAGGGAGTTCTGCATTCTTTCATATTTCATTTGCCAGAGCTGACTATACTTAGACGGGGACCATAGTTAAGGGCGCAGCATGGCACCCCGGCAGTGCCACCGGGTGTACCACACCATGGGGGCATCCGATAGAGGACTTGAGCTTGGCCGTGAGCATTGGGTACTTCTCTGCCTCGGCATCTCTGCCCTTTATTCACAGATAACTCTCTCCCCCTGTTTCTAGGAGAAAAAAAAAGTGCGTTCGCTACATACAAGGTGAAGGCAGCTGCCTCAGCCCCCCCTCTTCAGATGGAAGCCTACTAGACTCGCCTCCCCCCTCCCCGCACCTGCTAGGCTCCCCTCCCCCAGACGCCAAGTCACAGACTGAGCAGACACAGCCGCTCTCGCTGTCCCTGAAGCCCGACCCCCTGGCCCACCTGGCCATGATGCCTCCGCCGCCCGCGCTCCTGCTGGCCGAGGCCGCCCACGGCAAGGCCTCCGCCCTCTGTCCCAACGGGGCTCTGGACCTGCCACCTGCCGCCTTGCAGCCGCCCATTGTCGCCTCGTCCTCGCTCGCACAGCCGTCAACATCTTCCTTACATTCCCACAGCTCGTTGGCCGGGACCCAGCCCCAGCCTCTCTCCCTCGTCACCAAGTCTTTAGAGTAACTTTCAGCCTCGTTAGCCCCGGGTGCTTTGTCGCGTGTTTCCTCTGGCTTTTCTTTCCTCCCTCCGCCTCGAAAGGTTTTGTTTTGTACTCTCTTAATTTTGTGCCACGTGGCTACATGAGTTGATGTTTATCGAGTTCATTGGTCAATATTTGACCCATTCTTATTTCAATTTCTCCTTTTAAATATGTAGATGAGAGAAGAACCTCATAATTCTACCAAAATTTTTATCAACAGCTGTTGAAAGTCTTTGTAGCGTTTAAAATATATATATATATACATAACTGTTATGTAGTTCGGATAGCTTAGTTTTAAAAAGACTGATGAAAAAAGCAAAAAGAAAAAAAAAACGATTTTGAAGCACCCCTCCAGAAGGAGTTGGTTCTGTATTATTTGTATTAAATATGAGCTTGCGAACCAATCATTTTACATCTGGTTTTTCAACCACAAGCGCACGACGAATGCAGTGCCGTTACCTTATTTTTTTTCCCAGTGTGAAACAACTTTTATTGTGATGTTACTTGTTATTGTTTAAATGTACAGAAACAAAGGGTTAAAATGTGTTAATGTACCTTGCTCCATGGTGTTGTTCTTTTTTGGGGGGGAGGGATGCCACTCAACAATGAATGAATCACAACGCTGTCGGACCAGTAGTATTTATTGCTTTAGAGATTGCTTGTACCTGTACGTCGTCCCTTTTTAAATATGTTTTCCCTTTTCTTGAAACTGTATAAAGTTTTCCCCCCTTAGCATAAGCATCTTATATATAACAATTCATTTGTACAAGGTTTTTAAGTTTATATATAAAAATGTGTATATATATTTTTTGTTTCCCTTTTGGACCTTTTGTTCTCTTGTTTTTGGGTATGTTTGTGGTTTTTTGTTGTTTGGGTTTTGTTTTTTTGTTTTGTTTTGTTTTTTGGTTTTCTGTCTTGCTGTATGACACCCAGATGCCGCCAGATGGACATTAACAGTTGCATTAAAGGATCAGTAGCATTAACAAGAGTTGCTTTAAAAAAGCCATTATGTAAAACAAGACTTGAAAGTTAGCAGAGGGGATCTTAGCGACGCTGTATGAGCAGCAGTGGGAACTGCCCGGGTTTCCCCCTTTGAACTGCCAGTAAATGCCCTGGCCCTTAGGACATGGACTGACTGTGTGCAAAACTTTATGTGCCAAAATTCTCAGTGACTTTAGCTTTCTCCCTCTTTTTGATGCTGTAATTTTTGTTCATCATGTTTTTGCTGTGATGTTACATAGGTAGATTTGTATGTAGTTTTAATGTCACCTATAACAAAATGTGTTTGGTAGCAGATTGTCCAGAAAGCATTTTAAATGAAGAGGTGTAAACCCTTAAGGGCCAAAATTCTGTATATTAGATTACTCTTAAAGGAAAACCCAGCTGCCGCTTCTATGTACACATATTACATACAAGTAGGTAGCGAACTTTAAAAATAAAAAAAACCTAGGCATGTTGATGTTGCAAAATGCTGTATAAAGCTGAAACCTGTTCATTCAGTGCCATTGTAGTTGACATGAAGCGATTGTAAAACTGTCTCCGATTTTCTCTGGTTTATTAAAATGCTAACTATAACATTTTTTGTGAATACTTTGAATGTTTCCTAACAGTTGTGATGTTACTGTTCCGTTTTATGCTCTTATTCCAAGTTCATTTTTAATGGTTTGGAAGCCATTTTTGTAATGAATAAATGTTCATGCTGTACAGTATCTGTAGCATGCCGTTCTGGATTAATAAAAGCAACTTAGTATGTGCAGATAAAGGCTGGCCACTCTTTTGTCTGCTTGGGATGTTGTGTCTGGGGAACTTGGACCTGCTGTCGCCGAGAGAGCCACATCCCCAAGTTGGAACTTAGACCATGCGGTAAGTATAAGGTGGGCAGTGGAGGTTTCCATACCAGAATGTGATGTGGACGTCCTTTGGTGGGGGTTTCGTGTCCTGGCTTGTCTACTGTGGCATTCACAATGAAGTTGACCAATGTGAAAGGGTGTTTGTGTCTCTCTCCATGGCATGAGGGAAATTCAAAAAGTGTGTGGAAAACAGAGTTCAAAGATAAGTTGATTTTTGGCACAGCAAATTCTTAAACCCGGGCATAATTTTTTCAGAATAGGTGTATTGGAAGTGCCCTCGTATTCATCTGTACCGTCACCAATGGCTCCTTTCTGGATGCCAAGCACAGTCCCAGAGCAGGTGCTCCCCTCCGGCGTCGGGCACACACCCCTGTCACAAGGTCAAGCAAACAGGTTTTAATTTTGGCTCATGAGACCTGCTTCACCACGAGGGGACTGCAGAGCCACGCCCTCACCCACGGGGAGCCGCATGCAGGGGACAACACGAGGGCGTCCTGTGAGCAGCTGCGGAGCCAAGGGGTCGTTTAAAAAACTGGACCAAGGTGAAACTTAGAGGTGTGTGGGAGGGGGGTGCTTTGCCACAGGGGGACCCCCGCTCCCAGACTGTTCTCTGGCAGCTGTGCAGGTTCATCGCTGCAGGACAGGCCCTCAGGTTCCCACCGGGGTTCCTTTCTCTTGCTGACAGCAGCTGGATGTGCAGTTTGTTCTGTCTGTCCGGGCCCCTGTACCTTCACACAATGGCAGTTCCGATGGGCCTGGGAGCCGGCCTGTGACCGTTGTTGTAAGTTACCGTGGTGTGGCATCGAGGACTTTCAAGTACCTGGGACACTTGGCCGAGCTGCTTTTTGTTCTGTAAACTCCTGGCCCTGTTTTTGGTTGGCTTCGAGTTCCCCGGGGAGGAGGAGTGTTTCGGGTGTTCTCCACTGTATTTTACACCCTGGGCCCGGCGTGACTTGCAGGCACCAACAAGAACAGTTTGTGTGACGTGCCAAGCCAGCAAGGTACATTTGCTCATTTAATCCCAACTGTGCCCACTCCCGCCTCGAGGTGCGTGTGGTGCTTCCCACCCCCAACCCTCTGCTAGTTCTAAAAATGGATTAAGAAAGTTGGAGTTGTTGGCTTGTCCAGGGCCATACAGTTAGTAGGTGGTGAACACCTGACTCCAAGCCCAGGTGCTCAACACCAAGTCATGCCACCTTGCACAATAATCAAGACGGCTCTTCCTTCTGCAAAGAAGGGCCCGGCAGCCCCTTTGAAAGCTGTCCTTGTTCATTCCGCCTGCTGTTCTGCACCACACCCCTCTCGCTCACTGGCTCCTGGAGCTGTACTGCAGAGTTAAGCGACTGAAAAGCACCAGCCTGGAAAACTCATGTGCAGGTTCGGCCTGAGACACCACAGTGTTCGGGGAGGATGGCCCTGACCCTTTGGGTCACTGCCAAGTGCGCTCTTGTAGCCCTGTCTTTCCCTCCCTGCTGGTTCACTGTCTGCCATCTTGTCCATGGCCTACTTGAGCTGCTCAAGGCCCACAGCGTTTCTTGGGAGCCTGTCTTTTCCCTGGCAGAATGTTTATCAACTTCCCCGGCCTCTACCCACGAATCCCAGTAGTATCCTCCCTGTGTTCATCATGACAACCAGACTTGTCTCCAGATACCCCCAGATGTCCTTTGAGGGCAAAATCACCCCCAGTTGAAAACTCTTTCTCTTGAGATCCCTCCAAGAGGACAGGGTTGTGGTCTTCTTGTTCCCCATTGTGTGCCAGAGTGCTGTTTCAGTATTGAATGCGCCGTGAGTCTTGGCTTGGTAGATTCTTGTTGAAGGCAGGCAGGAATGAGATTGGCCACTTTGGCACCCACAGTGCGTGACAAGTGGAATAATGATGCTTCCAGGTGTTACATCCTCCTAGCTCCCAGGGTTTTGGTGGCTTGACCCTCTCAGCCATGCTCTGGTGCAGCTCAGTTAACCTTGTTACAAAAGGGGCACAGTGTAATAGCTCTGCCATCTGCCACCCAAGAGCAGGGCTCTTGCTAAAACTCCACCGTGTGTGGTGCCCTGCAATGTTCAAGGGGGTGTGTTGAGGATCTTAACACCTGAATGTGGACCGTGCTTGCCCTGTTCATGGTGCAGGTTCTGGCTCCCAGATGTCAGATGTCCCACTTCCTCTCTGCATCTGGTCGGTGTCATCTGAGCTTAAAAGTTGATTTTCAATCTGGGCATCTGTCCGTTTCATCCACAAGCGTGGATCTGGGGGGTGTTTGTTACTAGGAGACCTCGGGACAACCTGGAGGAGGCCATGACTTTCCCACTGAGCCATGTCATTCCTGGCCTCTGCTGGAATCTTGCCAAATACATTTGCACAGGAGGAGGGTGTGGGTTCTCTGGAGCTGCTCAAACAAACCACACACCTTGTGGCTGCAAACGACAGACAACATGTTCTATCTACCTGGGAAGCAGGAGTCTGACATCAAGGTGGAGTTGGCTCATGCTCCCTACCAAGGCTCACCTGTGCCCTGCCTCTTTCAGTTTCTAGTGGCTGCCTGCCACCTTTGGCATTTCTTGGATTGTAGCCACATCACTCCAGGTCCAGTGTCCCTCTTTACAACTTTCTCCAGGTCTGTCCCCAAAGTCCGCCTACCCCCTCTCTTGAAAGGGTTTGTCTCATTGTATCTCGGGCCCTCATGGGTAAACCCCTTCAGCCTAGATCGCTGGATACATCTCTTGTCTCATAACATCCTACAGACTCTAGGATTAGGATGTGGATGTGGATTTTTGGAGGGGCACCATTCAGCCCATGCCAGAGGCGCTGACTCTGAGGCCACTGCAGAATGGGCAGTCATCCATTGTCTGGGGTGGTCTTGGACAGGCTCGTGTGGACAGTGATGACTGTAATGGATGATTTTGCATGGCAGATGTTAGAAGGTTCATGGTTCCTTCTGAATCCCATGGGCTCCGACGGGCCTGTCGGCCATACCCAGGATTTCAAGAGAGGAAGCTGTTGGGAGCAGGGGAGTGAATGTGGGCGTGTCGGGTCCTACACCTGACTCCTGCTGGCTGTCCTGGGGTACCTCCTTCAGCGCACAAGCGGTGACGGTTGTATCCCTTTGGACAGATTCTTAGACTCAAATGTGAGCTGTCTGAAGAATAAGTCGTAGTGTTTATTATAAAAACCAGGCACTGGTCGTCTGTTTGTTTCCTTTATTTCTCTGGGATTCTGCTAGCCCACTCCTGTGCACCCACGTTAGAGTTCTAGAAATCTCGGTGTAGAAGACACATGACATGGCCCAGGGACACTGTGACTCATCCACAGTCGTTCTTTTTACCCAAAACTTAATGGCCCTGTGAAAGTGACTTCCACTCTTTGGGGAGCTGCAGCCCTGGCTGGGGTGCTTTTTGCGGTGTAGAAATGTGGCACGGAGATGTGTTTTTAATTAAAGCTCTTTGGAAAGAAATTCAGGAGCAGCCTAAAAGGCTCCTGTGAACTCGCGGTCTCAGTGCCTGAGGCCAGTGCCCCAGACCAGAGCTGGGAGTCACTAATGAGCGGGGCCACGGATGTGACTTTGCAGGGGGGGGCCCATCTGGGGTTGGCCTCCTCATCTCCCACTCCGGGTCTGGCTCCGCAGCCCGAGGCGTGGGGCCGTGGCAGAGGCTGCTGTGAATTCTGGCAGCGTCTGAGAGGCACACAGGCAAGGTCTGGCCGCGAAGCCGGCGTCTTGTGAGCACACTTGATGGTGCTGTGAGTAAGCACATTCATTCATTCGGTGCCTGTTTGCACCCGCACCGTTCTGGGTGCTGGCACATACGTCTGGGTGGTGCCCGTGTGGTCTCCACCTTTCTCTATGAGCTCAATCCTGCATCATCTTACAGGGTGGAGTGTTTAGGGAAAGAGGCCATCAACATTCCTGAGACTGGACAAGCTGGAAAGGGTTTTTATACAAGGATAAGAACAAGAGGATGCACTAAAAACTCTACCTCCGTTGTATTCTAGAAGACAAATTGCTTTATGTTCATTTTACAGATGTAGCAAGTGAGGCTGAGAGAGGCTAAGGGGCTTTCCCAAGGAGAAGTGGTGAGCCTAAGGTTAGAACCCACACACTCCGGCTGCACAGCTAAATTCCGTATTATATGAGTTCTTACGGAGAGGGGCCTCGGGAGGGTGGAGGCCAGAGCCGATTCCATCCATGACCTTCTGAAAGGCTTTGGCTGTGAGCTGTGAAACCAACAGGAGTTCTCGCTTCCCCGTGTGTGTAGGTTTTCTTTTCCCCATTCTAGTGGCTGTGCATCTAATAATAAAGACAGTTGATGATTAACGCGGTTGAACGATTTTAGACTCAACACTGGTGATGATAGAATCCTAGAACTGCAAGAAAATTACAAGTCTGTGTGTAACATAATACCGTATATGCAAATTGTAGCAAGTTTTTCAGCTCATGAGTTGTAACCCGTTGATAGGTCGGGAGATCAATTAAGTGGATCAAGGCCATCATTTTTTAAAAAGTAAATGGAATGAAAGAGAAAACAGAAGCTTTGCTGTATGTGTGCCCTGCATCACGTACAATCCTTCTGCGTGTAGTTAGGGTAAAAAGGTTTTAAAACTGGGTCTGAATGTAAATAATAACTGTCATATATAGAATAAATAATTTAACCTGTATAATGCAGTACCCATAGTGTGTAAAATGTAGTTAACAAAAGAGTCGATGAATGGACATTGTACTCATTGTTACACCAGCATTTTCCCAAGTAGGCTCCAGGAAGCCTTACTCCCTTGGAGTCCTCTTGATCACAGCCTCTTGGGTAACTGTGCCTTAACAGAGTTTGAATGCTCGTAATTCTTGAGAGTCCATCAGGGTCTGCATGAAGAATCCCCTCCAGTTGATTTTTTTTTTTTTTTTTTACAGGCAGAGTTAGACAGTGAGAG